CACAACCGTCCATCTAAATTAGTGGTAATGTAGGGTGAGGATTGAGCAGCCTTTTTTGTGCATTAAATCCTTCATTAGCCGGCGTCACCCACATTGGAAAGGGGAAGAAATTTGGGGACTGGGAAAAAACGATTTGACTTTCCCCTTTTGATTATTTCCCCTTTCGTCTCTCCCACCAGACGACCAACCCTCCTCCTTCCATCACCAGCAGCCGGCCATCTTCGACCTTCCTCGGCGACAACAATGGAGGTTGTTCCTTCCACCGATCGAGAATCAACCTGCCAACCAACTCCTTTCCTCTTCCTTTTTGCTCTATTTCCGTCAACCACCTTCCATCGGCGACACGACTTCGAAGAACTAACGATTTCATGGAACTAGTCTCCGTCCTCCCGAAATCGACAGTAGGTGTTGGGTTTTACTCCCTTACATTTTCCTCTTTCTACTCTTCTTTCTATATTTTTTTAGGTCTTTCTTCTGACTACCCTCCTCACCTTCTCGGCGAAGATGACGGCCTCCTCCCCTTCCCGACGACGACGACGAAGAATCTGAGGTAGCTCTCTCTCCCAAACCCAAATCTGGGTTTTCGTGTGGTATTTGTACTAGTTCAATGGTATTTTCATTACCCATATTTGTGTCTTTGAGTTTCTAGGTCTGGATTTTTTCATGTGGTATTAGTACCAGTGTACTGGTATTGATACCGGTGTAATGTTACCACTGCAATGGTAGTTCTACCACTGTCTGAGTTTCTGTTGAACGTTATCAGTGATAAGTTTTTTTATTCTCGTGGTGTTTGTACCAGTGAAGTGACATGTCTTACCGGTGTAGTGGTACTTTTTTGCAGGTGCTCGAAGGGAGTCAGCAGGTGCAAAGATGTATTGGTAATTCTACCACTACAATGATAGTTGTCTTACTTATCGAACTCGTATTTCTATAAAATGTTTATTGTGGCTAATATTTGTACCACTTTCAGTGGTAGTTCTGTTTCCAATTAGTTGAAGGTGTGTCTGTCACCGAAGTGGTATATAATGTTTTTTATGGCTAGTAAAAGTACCACTCCAATGACAGTTTTGAGTTGTCTTACTTGTCGCTAGTTGTTTATGGCTAGTTGTCTTCCTTATCGCTCTCGCATTTCTATCACTTCAATGATATTTCTGATTATTGTCTTCCTACCCAATGACCTCAGGAATGGCCATGACGAAGAGGAAACGGTAAAAGTTGAGATAGGCAAAGCTCCTGCTTCGAGTGCGGGTACCAACAAGGAACGAAGGGCGACGACGATTGGAGAAGGTAGGGTGGGTCGGGATCTCGCTGTTGGCCGTCGAGGATGAGGAAGGCAAGGCGGCGACCATCAAGGAACATGCAATGGGAAGTGAAGACGGCAACGAGGTCGGTGAAGTCAGGCGGGGGCGATTGAGGCGGAGAAGTCGACGACGAGTGACGATTGAGGATGGTGGTGGCTGCCGAGGAACGTCGGTAGAGAGCAGAGATTGAGAATGGTGGTGGGCTGGTGGCTGCGGATTGGGAAAGGGTAGAGAGGGGCGAGCCGAGAGGAGAGGGAGAGATTGAGGATGGTGGTCTGGCGATTGGGATTCCCAATTTGGGAAAGGGTGGAGAGGGGCGAGCCGAGAGGAGAGGGAGATGGAGATGGTGATTGAAGGGATTTGGAGAAGGGACGTCAAGATCGGGCGGGACGATTGAAGATGGAACTGGGCAAGGAAGGAAGGAGAGAGAGCGACGAGTGAAGAAGGAGAGGTTTGGAGTCCAGGGAGAGGCAGAGTGGCGATGGTGAGAGCAGAGAGGGAGAGTCTCGAGAGGTTTGGCGGTTTTGGCGGTGCACCGAGATTATATAGGTGTGCAACCGTCGGTTGCCGGTTAGCAAAAATCCCCAAAACAGCCAACCGAAGCCGACACCGAATCACTATTTTTGGTTATCAGTTCGGTGAATAACCGTGGTTTTCGGTTCGGGTTTCGGTTTAACCTAAAAACCGCCAACCGATTAACACCCCTACACATGGTTACTAGTATCACTCTACTGGTACACGTACCACTCCACTGGTACACGTACCACTCCACTAGTACACTTACCACTCCATTGGTGTGTTTCCTCTGTCGCCGTGTACATATGGTTACTAGTATCACTCCACTGGTACACGTACCACTCCACTGGTACACGTACCACTCCATTGGTGCGTCTTCCCTCTCGGTGTGGCCTTCATATGTTTGATCTACGGTGATAACCTTGCGTCTTGTCCTCCGACGGCGAGCAACCCACTCGATAGGTTAGATGCGATCCTAGGACGGCGGCGGCTGGAGATAGGAGGATGGTGATGGGGGAAGACGCTGGAGGAGTATGGCGGTTGTAGGGATGGAGGCGGCACAAGTGGTAGGCGTGGATGAAGAGGGCGGAGAGGGGTGATGGCGGCGACGGGAGGAAGAGGAAGATGAAAATGGGGGAGGGTTTTGGTCATTTCAGAGTACAGGAGGCTTCTGGTGAAAATGAAATCAAAATGGAAAGGGGTTCCAAATGGAGAGAGAAGGAGACGAAAGAAAGACAAAAATGGCAATTAATTGCACATTTGGGTGGGTGCTTTTTTCTCGTTCCCCAAGTTCTTTCCCTTTCCAATGTCGGTGAGAGAACCAAAATTACAAGATTAAAAAAAAACAAGTTTAATTAATACTTGTCAATGATTAAAAGTAAAATTGGTCAATCATAAAGGGGGTGTCAAAAAGCCAACCCCTTTAGGGGTAGGCATAGTATCCGACCCCTGACAATGAGGAACATTTCCTTCTTTGTGTTTCTTTCATCTCTAATAAGAGTTTCCATAGTTTGATTTGTGGAATAATAATTCCTCCTACTATTCCTATTTGTTCCTTTAGTTTTATTATGTACGTATATTTGTAGGATGTTCAGTTGGAGTGACAAAAAATATAATACAAAAAATTAAAATTTTATAAACATTAATAACACAATATGTTTCAAGAATTGTTATGGTTTGATAATGAAAATGCAAGGTCGAATTACCAAACCAAGTCACCATAACAAATTTTAGATAAATTCAAAATTAATGATCAAACATTTATCATTGTATTCTATGTTATAGAGGGTGGGGCAATTAACTAAAAGAAAGTTTCCAGCAAGTGTCAGGTGTAAGGCAGGTGTTGGGGCCTTTCCTAATGCCTATAAATAACAATTTGTACTACATGTTTAATGAAATAAAAATTTACAATATTTTCTCACTTTAGTGGAAATGATTAATAACTTATGTTACACTTAACAACAAATAAATTAGCTCGTAAGTTTATAGTATCATTGCTCAATAGCTCATAAAGCTCTTGAGCTATTGAAAAACTTATATAGAAAATTGAGTTTGTAGATTATATTAATTTTCCCATTTGATATTGACTGTCTATCTCCATTTAATTATGCATAGGCGACACCAAGATGTCGTCTTACTCCATCAACTTGTTCTTGATACCTAACTCACCATAGAATCCCTAGATGAGGCGTTTTGGTAGTATTTGGTGTCTAGGCGTGTTCAATTATAGTTTTAAGTGCACTTTTTGAACCATGACCAAAACTCATAAAATTTTCTTGCAATAAATAGGGAATCTTAAAATTTGGTCATTCGGTACTTTTTTACAATGTACATACTGTTTGGTACCAAATGAATCTAAAATTCATTTCATTTTGAAATGAATTACCGTATAAAATTCATTGTCAAATGAATTCTTGTGTTTGGTATGCCATATTCAAATCTTAAGAAATAAAATGAATTGAATTCCCAAACCATGTTTGCATATGTTTGTAATTGAATTGAATTAAAAGTTTCCAACTACGCCCTTATTAATTTTCGCTAGAAACAATATTTATTAAAAATTCATCTTCTAAAAAATGTTTTTGATCCCATACGTAGAATATCAAAGTTTTCTTGTGTGTTTCTATTCTATTCATTAGTTCTTTCGATATTTTGCCAATGAACCCTACACTCTAGTTGTGGCTTCTCAACATATTGATATAATCAAAGCGGAAATATCAAATAACCAGAATATGCTACTAGCGCTGCAATTAAATTCTTGCCGACGTTCCTCATACTGCATGAACTGGCGTCAAATAATACATGTAGAATTAGTTTAGTTAATAAATGAGGATAATTATGTAATTTTGTTATAATTAGTAAATTCTTGTGGAATTCACTTGGAAATTCCATCTCAATTACCTCGGAATTGTTATAACTAGCTCCAATTCCGTAGAATTCAAAATTTAGAATTGTAAATGAATTCTTTTAAATACCAAACAAAAAAGATTTCATTTCAAAATGAATTCTTTAAAATTTATGGAATTCATTTATACCAAACGGTATGGTAGTATAGTGATATGTGGTCCGCCGATGGTAATTGTTAATCAGCTGTAGCACGATATGGCTACAGCTTCGCCTGATTAATAATATGTTTACAGGTTCTTGTAAAAAAAAGTATAGTGATATGTGTAACATCCAGAACCTTTTCCCGACGAAGATATTGTCCGGTTTGGGCCTCGACCCTCACGATTTTCGACTTGGGGTGCAATTCAAGGTGACTTCCCATAAGGTCACCCATCATTGTTGTACTCCACACTGAGCACGTTTAACTTCGGAGTTACCACTTGTAACATCCCGAACCTTTTCCTGACAAGATACTGTCCGCTTTGGGCCTCGACCCTCACGATTTTCGACTTGGGGTGCAATTCAAGGTGACTTCCCATAAGGTCACCCATCCTTGTTGTGCTCCACACTGAGCACGTTTAACTTCGGAATTCTCACAAGAACTCCTGCATTACACCCAAAATGCGTCTTGTCAGTTAAGGTCGGTTTCCTATTTATGAACCATGGATCTCTCCCGTGCTTTGTCAATGTGGGATTTGCTTAACGTGTTGTAATATGTGGTCATTCCGTACTTTTTTTTGCTTAAAAAAATTGAAAATATTATTATAAATATTAAAAAAATGATCTCGCACTTAAGGCAAAATAGTCATTCCAACCCGCTTGGGAGCTCGGGACAAGTAAATAGCGACTAATAATAATTTGTGGTGGAGCGTAAGACTAGTTTCAATAACTTGTATTCCTGTTGCCACAGCAAGTGTCAAACGAACCTTCCATTTCTTTCTCACGAACGACCAATCCCCTGTTTCTTCTAATTCTCCTTCCTCCATTCTAGCTTTCACCTTGCGTCCATTTCCCCCTCTCTTTTCGCCTAACCATCATATCATAGCTATAATTATGATGCTCAAAGCTCAGCCACATTAATCGCTAGCTAGGTGGCTGAGTGCGTCCATTTCCCCCTCTCTTTTCGCCTAACCATCATATCATAGCTATAATTATGATGCTCAAAGCTCAGCCACATTAATCGCTAGCTAGGTGGCTGAGAGTAACCAAACAACGTAAACAGCTCAGCATTATTCCCCATTCCTACCCCTAATTGATTAGTGGTGCTGATATTTGACGATTCATTCATTGCTGCCGCCAGCTCCTGCTATGGATAATCTAATATCGTTGGTGAACAAGATACAAAGAGCATGTACAGCGTTAGGTGACCATGGCGAAGAGAGTGCCTTGCCTACTCTTTGGGAAGCGCTGCCAGCCATTGCCGTCGTTGGTGGCCAGGTATCCATTCAACAACACTCGATCTTCCATGTTTCGTTCCTTTTATTTCTCAACAGTGTTTCAAGAATTTGGATTGGCGAGAATTATCCATGAGAAAGAAAGAATCAAAAGCTAATGTTGGTTGGTTTGTTCCTAAGAAGGTAGTAGAATGAACCCACTACACATATCTGCAAAAACGTTTGGATCTAGCAATCAACACCCTAGATTTCTTCTTTGAGGAGCTTATAGATTTTATTGTAAAAAAAAAAAAAAAAGAGAGGAGCTTATAGATTTTGAATCTTTTTATTAGCTAGCTTGTTGTAGTTGTGCTCCTGTCCAGAAATTAAGAAGGTGAATTCTGAAATAGAGTTTTGGTTCTGGCTTTGGTGGTTTGCAGAGTTCTGGAAAGTCATCAGTGTTGGAAAGCATTGTTGGAAAAGATTTTTTACCTCGTGGAGCAGGTAATTCTGGTTATGAAGTGCAATTTTCATCATGGGGAAGCGTTGTTAATGTGCTTGCTTCAAATGCAGGGATCGTTACTCGACGACCCCTTGTGTTGCAGCTTCATAAGATTGACGAAACAAGAGAATATGCAGAGTTTATGCACCTTCCAAGAAAGAGATTCACTGACTTCGGTATATGCATTTCTTGGAAACCAGTCCCAAAACTTGTATTGGTGATGGATGCATATTTAGTTAGAATATTTATTATGGTTATTAATATATGTTATTATCATTTTGTGGAATTTTGGGAGATTTGGGGTAATTGGGAATAATCGAGGGATATCGATAATAAGAAAAATTGTTAGGCTAATTAGGATTGTAAGTGGTCTTACTTCATGCTAATTTCTAATGGTAACCTTAATTGTTTAGCTGTTGTTAGGCAGGAGATTTCTGATGAGACCGATCGGGAGACAGGTCGCTCCAAGCAAATCTCCACAGTTCCGATTCATCTCAGCATTTTCTCTCCAAATGGTGGCTTAACTATGCTCATTGCTTCTTGTATTTCTTCTCTTAAAAAAATGCTTCGATAATTATTAAGTAGTGTAACTTCGTCAACTGCATATTTAAATTGACAAGTACATATGTCTTCAACTACATGTGTCCTTGTCCTAATCTAATGAATACCACAGTAGTATAAATTGTGTTTTAAATTTTAAAATTTGTGCTTTTATGCCTTTTAGACATCAAACACCATAACTTTCATGCAAAACCGGTAGGTCAATAAATTCTGGCAAAATTGATTGTGGAAGCGGCAAAATCGCATAAGATCGATTGTAGCTTCAACTTCATACAATTGGACTAGAAATTTCGGTTATTTAGTGTTCATAAATCACAAAGTATATATAGCAATTAGATACAATTTTACATATGTGTAAAAAAAAAAACTTATGCTTTTACGTAATCTTTCCATTTCCACATAGAATTGGGCATTTGAGTGCACTAGCAGTGGCCTCCTAAGATGGATGGATTTGCAGAGAAAGCTTTTGTGATTGGTTAAGATGATTAATTAGTGATTTGAAAAAGATGTCATAGGGTTGGAGGCCTTCAATTTATGACTCTGCTATCAATCTGCAGTTGTGAACTTGACATTGGTTGATCTTCCTGGACTGACGAAAGTGGCTGTAGGTAAGCATTTAAAATTGATTCTTTTCCAACAACAATAATATTTCTTGCTACATTTTACAACTTAAACTAATGAAAAAGTGACTTGTTGAATATGTCATAGAGGGTCAACCTGAGAGTATTGTGCAGGACATAGAGAACATGGTTCGGTCCTATATCGAAAAGGTAAAGCAAAGACAACTACTACTCATTGTCCATGAAACCGTACCGTACCGGCGGTTTAACCACAAAATACCAGTATCGGAGGCTAAACCGATAGATAGTATTTAATGGCACTAACGGTTAAACTACGATTAAACCACGATTTTGCTATAAAATACTCTACCGCTGACTTTTCCGGTATGGTCTCTGGTACGATTTCATGGACCATGCTACTACTAGTGCTACAAGATGATTAATGGACATTGACAAAATTTAAGCGAGTATGTATATTTCCATTGCAGCCAAATTGTATAATTTTGGCCATTTCCCCTGCTAATCAAGATCTTGCTACATCTGATGCAATAAAGATTTCTCGTGAAGTTGACCCTAGAGGTGAGCTTCTAAACTTTATTGTTTTGTTTTTGTTTTTCCTTCCTGGAAAGGACCATGAATGATTATAATACTTGTTCTTGGAAAGAAAGGAAGGGAGCCTGAACTAGAAAATGTAGGTGGTGTCTATTTTTCTTTAGATTGTTGTTGTATTTATCTTTGAAGATATATAGTTGTTAAAATCGTCCATATTCCTACTCACTAAGTAACTAAGTGTTAGGAGGATACAATTTGCAGGGGAGAGGACATTTGGGGTATTGACCAAGATTGATCTTATGGACCAAGGTACCAATGCAGTTGATGTAAGTATGGTCTGGGTATCCAATTGTGATATTGGCCCTTTTACTTTCTCTTCTCTTTCAGATGCTGGGCACTAGCACTAGCACTGCACAAGTAGTTATAGGCTTTGCATCATTGTTGTGTTGGATTATTTCCCAGATCCTGGAAGGAAGATCATATAAGCTTCAGTTTCCATGGATCGGCGTTGTGAACCGCTCCCAAGCTGACATCAACAAAAGTGTGGACATGATTGCTGCTCGGCGCAGAGAGCGTGAATATTTCCAGAGCAGCCCAGAATACAGACATCTAGCTCAAAGGATGGGTTCGGAGCATTTAGGGAAGATGCTCTCAAAGGTACGTACCGTACGTGATACAAGAGTTGAGAACAAGTAAATAATTAGAACAAGCAAGCAAAGCAACTGATGAAAATTTGTGCAGCATCTGGAACAAGTCATCAAGTCACGAATTCCTGGGCTCCAATCTCTTATCAACAAAACCATCGTCGAGTTAGAGACAGAGTTGAGTCGTCTTGGAAGACCTGTCGCTACCGATGCTGGTGTAAGATACTATTGGCCTTACCTCTTGTTTAATTTGAAACCCTGCATCTCAGAAAATCAATCAATTAATTAATTATAACACAAGCCATCTATCTATATGAATATGTGTCAGTCATCTCTTAAAAGAAGAAGCACAACATAACATAAATGCAGGGGAAGTTATATATGGTGATGGAAATTTGTCGAGCTTTTGATCAAATATTCAAAGAACATCTTGATGGCTCGTAAGTCTACGTACTTCCACTTTCCCCATGTGCTAATTGACTGCAATGCAATGCTTGCTGTCATCAATTTTGTTCTCCCTCGTAACTGGCAGACGTTCAGGCGGTGAAAAAATCTATCAAGTATTTGATAATCAGCTTCCTAGTGCTTTAAAGAGGCTGCACTTCGACAAACAACTGTCGCTAGACAATGTGCGAAAGCTCATCACTGAAGCAGATGGATACCAGCCGCATCTAATAGCTCCCGAGCAAGGCTATCGTCGTCTTATTGAGTCCAGTTTGGTAACCATCAAAGTTCCTGCTGAGGCAGTTGTTGATACGGTACGTATGTCTGTCTGTCTGTCGCTTAAGTGTACGTACATACATGTTGCGATGATGAAGACAAGGAGTAACTTAACTATATTGCATACTTGTTCTCGATCGTATGACATTAATTTTCAGGTTCATGGTATACTCAAGGACATGGTTCATAAGTCTATTAACGAAACCCAGGTTAGGTTACCCCCTAGCTGAGCTAGTAGTTCATCAAGTTTAATTAATGTCTGGACTGGTTGGTTGGTTGTACCTAGCTCATAGATTTTAATTTTATCCCGCTAGCTAGCTATAGTTTGTTGCTACATTTGTGATAGCACTTCTCATGCATGTCCCGCTCGATCGATCGAAACAGGAACTGAAACAATACCCTACCTTAAAAGTGGAAGTTAGCAACGCCGCCATCGAATCTCTAGAGAGGATGAAGGAAGAAAGCAGAAGAGCAACTCTCCAGCTAGTTGACATGGAATGTTGTTACTTGACCGTTGATTTCTTTCGGAAGCTACCGCAAGACATTGAGAAGGGCGGAAATCCTACGCATTCCATCTTTGATCGCTACAATGATGCTTACCTCAGACGTGTTGGTAACTAGCTATACTTTTTATCTTCTTAATTTCTTGTTGCGCGCGCCGTAAGTGCTAGCTTCAGCAAACTGCAGGCCAAACTAAACTACTCCTCCTTGGTTTTGTTAATTGATGATTAATGTTGTAATTAAAATAGGGAGCAACGTATTGCAATATGTGAACTTGGTTTGTGCAAGCTTAAGGAACTCCATTCCCAAGTCAGTTGTGTACTGTCAAGTAAGGGAAGCCAAGCGAAGTTTACTTGATCATTTCTTCGCGGAGTTGGGTAAGAGGGAGGTCAGTATATATATACATACATACATACATACTAATTTTATTTTTCTTGCATCATATATTATTTATAGCCAAGATCATATCATAGCTAGAGAGGAAGCTAAGGCGGTTGAAATAATAATAGTAGTAGTAGTAGTAATGGTTCACTTTCTGCAGACGAGACAAATGAGCTCTTTGCTGGATGAAGATCCGGCAGTGATGCAACGACGAACCTCCCTTGCAAACAGGCTAGAATTGTACAGGAGTGCTCAAGTAGAGATCGATGCAGTTGCTTGGTCTAGATAGATAGACACACAGATATTGATTAAGGCATAATATTGTTTGGACCTGCTCACAGGATTTTTTTAGTGACTGTCGGTTCGACTTGTTTTCTTGGGTTTGCATGTTAATGATTTGGAAATCAGTGACAAAACACCTAATGCCAATTTATTCACGTATTTTTGTGTTCATTCATGTCATTTGTTGTGTATTCACGTAAGAGTGTAAGTTATTCACGTAAATGAAAATTCAGACTTTTTCCCCTAATAGTTTGTATTGGCTATATTTTATGGAATTAAATTTGAATTCTCAATTAGTTTGTAAACTAACTTTGTTCCCGGCCATTGGCCGGGTTATTTTTATCCTTATTAATCATTTGAAATCACATTTAAATTATAATCATATGCGGTTATATCAATAAAGTGAAAAGATCACAAATCATTAATAACATATTAAACACGTTTGGTTACATGATAGTCTCAATCTTATTATAATCCTTAACATAACTAATCGAGTTTATTTTATGAGTTTTCAGTGAACATAATCAAATATCTTATTGGTTAGAATCCTTACATTAAACTTGCATGTTGTGTGTTCTAATCCTAGTAATGATAATTTAAATGTTTGTTTATTTTTAATTAGTGTTTTTGTACTTGTGTTTAGAAAAGAAAAAAAAATAGTGACGTGCAAAATCAATGTTGATGTGGATGGATGAGAATTGAGAAACTTTTGAAATAGTTAATTCTAATTTGAGAAAATGCATAGTATATTGTGTTGGTGATTAATTTGTAACATCTATAATAAATTAATCGACAACACTCACGTTACACGTTGGTTAAACACCGTACTAAATACATAAAAATGGAGAAATATGCTAAGTTATTTGTAACTAATATTTACATAAAAATAAGATAACCAATATATATCTTCACTAATCCCATCATATGCCCATAGGCTGCACCCCTTCGTTTTGCCTTTGTTTTGGCTAAACATGTATTAAAATTTAAAATGTAAGGAGAAGAAAGTGAAGGATAACTACCGAGAAAAAAATGGAGGGAGGGACGGTTACGGCTAAATTACATGTTTGGTCACTTAAATTATACAAATCTTTCATGTTTGCCACCCAAATTACTTTTCTTTCTTATTCGCCACTAACTTTACGAATCGTTTCACCATTAACACCGGCCGTTACATTCCGTTAAGTTTATCCTACGTGGCAGTCAACTATAAAGTTTGACTGTTAACTAAATGACGTGGAAATTAAAAAAATAAATATATTTTTCCACCTCATCATTGCATTTACTTTATCTATATGATTTGTGATATTAATTATTTAATAAAAAAATAATTAAATTAAAAAAATTAACGGCCTCCTTTTTCCTCATCGCTGGTGCACTCGTACCCACCAGATCGGCGCTCTTCTCCTCGACGTCGTCACCTTCTTCCTCACTCGCCTCTTTCACCAGTCGTTCTCTCCCTACACCGCCACTTCCTTCGGCGGCAGCGTCTTCAGGTGCGGCTCCTGGAAGAGCCTCATCCGTATCTCCGACGCTTGATACCTGTAATGGCCTAACCGTGACTACGGTTCAGTCCTCTCAAAGAGACTGAGATTAATGGCTTGAAAGAGCTGATGCGCAGTCGTGATGGCAAAATATATGTCGAAGCTTGCGTTGAAGGCCAATGGGCACTCAGGTTTGTGTTAATTCTGTTCTTGAATTTCTTCCATGTTCGAATTCATCATTCCTGTTATCTATTTGATTAGAGCTCCGGTGAATCAGAGATTGAATTGATTTTTCTTGATTGGATTGATTTTCTAGGTTGAGATATATAAATTGCTGTTGAAATCAGGGTTTCGGACTAAGAGGAAAGAGGAAGGCAATCAAACTCCTTACCCACTCCTTCGATTCGTCTGCCGTGGCTTTCGCAAGCGCCATCGAAATCCTTCCCCTCTCATCGAGCTTCTTCACCGACAATCAGAGCACGGCGATCCCTCCCGGCGGCGCTGCTGCTGGGTTCTTCGGGTTCCCATCCAGCGCTCTTCTTCACTGTTGGGTTCTTCAGTGGAACCTCTTCACGGGCAGTTCTTCTAGAGATGCAGAGTTGTTAAGGATGGCGTTTATACCTTTGGCGCCGAAGTTGCAAGATCCACAGGACATCTTCTTCAACGACCTGCAGTTCTTGGCGAAGCTTCCATCCCGACATCGGTGATTTCCAGGCATGACCGGAGCTACCAGGCCGACGAGCTCAGCTACTTCTAAGCGCAGCTCGATGGGCTGAACGTGCGCACCAATCTGAACTACGGTATCGACGGAGCCAGGCTGCGGTTCGTGAGCAAGGTGCTGAGGTCGGCAAACTATGAGATTTGGTATATGATTTTTGGGGGTGGAGTGTGGACTTGTTCTTCTGTTTAAGTTATGTATCACGAACTAATTTAAAAGGCTTCTAAAAAAAAGTAACTTAAAAGGCTATGGGGATGCAGGATTATTTCCGATCCGATTGCACTGGTTGATTATATAAATTTCTTCCTCCCACTGATAATTAATTTTGTAATTTATAACAAAATTCAGTAATTTTTATTAATATAATCAATCATAGACATAGTAAGTGGAATGGTGAGGTGGAAAAATAATTATATTTTTTATTATTTTTAATTTCCACGTCATCAAGTTAACGGTCAAACTTTATAGTTGACTGCCATGTAGGACAAATTTAACGGAGTGTAACGGCCGGTGCTAATGGTGAAACGATTCGTAAAGTTAGTGGCGAATAAGAAAGAAAAGTAATTCGGGTGGCAGACGTGAAAGATTTGTATATTTTGAGTGACCAAACGTGTAATTTAGCCGGACGGTTACTATTGTTTTGTTTTAACCGTTGCTACCTTTTAGAGGATTTGAAAAGAAAAACGGAAGTACTTCTGTCATTTAGTGGGGCTGACGTGGATGCCTAATTTTACTGCAAGGCTGATGTGGCATTGATCATAATCTACACAGTGACATCCATTTCGATATATTTTAACGTATAAATTTAATTTTACAATGGCGTGAATAAATAACAATATGCGTGAATAAACACTAGGTTGCGTGACTAAACAATATTGGTTGCGTGAATAAGCAACCAATATTGATTGTGTGACTAAACAATATTGGTTGCGTGAATAAACAACACTCTTGCGTGACTAAACAATATTGATATCAACATATCCTACCAAAAAATTCATTCAACCCTCCATCACTCTTTCAACTCCCTAGTGCGTGTCGACAGGTTTTGGTTTGAGTGAGGAGAAGTGAACAATGATTAGAGATTGGAAATTTGAAATAAACAATTAAAGATAGGTTTTACTTTATTGCAATATGTTTTATATCAAATTTAGTTTTGTCTATATCACAAAAAGGTAAATATTAATTACATAATTCCTTGTAGCTCACAGATAAACGAGTGAAACTCTTAGCCCAGTAATACTAGGTTCAATTGTCCCTAGGGCAGTTTACAACTATTCCTAATTTTTGGATTCTTGCCAAGATTCAAGGTGGGTTTCAGGACCCACCCAGTTAAACTGTATCTCAGCCTCTTAATGCCCCTTAATGGAGCAACCTCATAAGCCAAAACAAAATGTTTTGTACATGCAACAATGTTGTTTTGCATAGAGTCACATTTTTCTCTTCATTACATTACAGATCTATGTTCCTGTTTTGCGGTGTTGATTTGATCGATGCACCTCTGACTTCTAGAAATCAAAATGACCGTTACTTGGTTCTCACCTCTCCGAACAATGTTTGAATAAGGATGTTTCAGTTTTTTGGAATATGCGCTACGACTACTCCTATGGAGATTCCTGTGGAGAGCTCCGCGACTACGGTACGACTGTGGATATCCTTTCTAGAAGGAGAACTCCGCGAAAGAGTTACAAAGAAAAAGGTAAATTTGACAGAGTTGTTTTCTGTGTTGATTTGGTTGCCCCCCTCTCTCTCCTTGCTCCGGTGATTTTATCTAAATCACTTCCGCAGTCATCATGTTGTGAAACCACCTTGATTTTGTTTCCCTCGTGCTCCATCTCTCTCCATGAAGTCGTAGTCTTCAACTACTTTGTATCTCGTTCTTCAATCTTGCTTGCATGAAACTCACGCATAAAATAAAAGAATTGGAGCCCAGAACCTGTATCGAGGTTCGAATGGCGATGTTGTTACTTGATCGTCATGGATGTGAGTAGCTAACAAGACCCACCATCGATTAAACAACGTCGTTGTTTAACCTCACACCACCACTGTTGAACTCACCTACTCACCAAGATGTTGTTGAACTCGTGACACCATTGATCACCACGACAATGATGGACTATAGAGTGGTCAAATTGGCAGTTTGGATACCATCAGGACCACCATATTGTCCTCAACAAAACAATATTGTAGTTGAAATCAAACTTGAAACGTGTAAATTACTGCGTCCTTGTGGGAAATCCAACTAGTTAAACCACGACATTGTTTTCGCATAAACAACGTCGCTTCTTAGTAGCGGCATGGTTTTCCTTGCATCCTCGCTCCTGAGTAAACAACGTTCCCAACATATAGCTCAAGTCACCAAATCAGCTTAGGGAAACAATGTTGTGGCTTACCTCCAGTCGACCCTGCAACACCATTCAACTCCCGTAGAGTTTGTAACCTTGGAGTGGCTCATGCCATAGTAGCGACATGGTCATCTTTGTGACATCATCAAACTCGTGGATCTCGCCGCATACTTGATCTTATGGTGTGGTTGAGATCTCAACCTCGTTCAACTCGGGGAATCATTGAGCTCTAGGATCCGCTGATCCCATGACTTCAACGAACTTGAGCCATTGTTTGCTCTCAACACCACGAGTTACTCGCAATGCCGTTGAACGGCCAGCATCGCTTAATAACACGATGTCATCTAGCTCGTGAGGTCGTTGACCTCGCGACGCCGCAATTATAATATATCTGCCAAATTACTTTTAGGTGTACACAATTCCTTTTCACTTTCCCTCATAGCCAAATTAAGTAACCCTACGAGCAATATAATCAAACTATAAGCAGAATGATGGGTAAAACTATAAGCGCGTGTAAGTTTACAGGGATCAAGTAAGATTATGATAAATTCTTTACTATAATCTATATTGTATGAAATATAAACACCATAAACATCAAATACCTATATTTAAAGTGTCACTACTCATACACATAGACAATTTGAAGCTCTTAAACTAGTGTAAGATTAAACTCATAACTAGAAGTTGATATACACAGAAAATGTGTTAAATTACAAAATAACATAAGTCATAACTCAGAGCCTGAATCAAGCTTAAATATCCAATTTCTCAAAATCTGGCACGTAAAGGTTCTTAAAAATGAAAATAAGACTATACAAGTGCATCAATATTTGCATTCAAGTCATTGTCATCACCACCATCACGATAGCCAGAGTCGTTATCATCTCTTGCAACATCACCACCATTGACAACACGATCAGTTTCTTCATCACAAAGTTCCAACTCTCCATTATTAGATTCATTAGTTTCACTACCACAAACCCATATATTATCTTAGTCCATATCCTCAAAGGCAACTTCAAGTTTCCTTTCTTGCTTGATATTTCCCAACAACTTTGTATTAGGCATGACATACACAAGATCAGTCATCTTTCTCTAAGCAGTATGTTCCATTTTGTTGTATGAACCTAGAAGAAAAAATTTGATATTTAAACAAATGACAAATTAGACTGGTACACCTTATACTATAAGAATTAAGAAAATAATGTCACAAGATTGATAATAACTAGAAGAAAATTATCTTACCCTCTCAAATGAATTTCAATACACTCACACCCATAAGCACTACAAGTCAAGCTCAACTCTCGAATGGAAAAAAAATTACGCTCTAGTACATCATCTCCTAATGACTGCAACCACTCAGAAGGATGTTGCCTATCCCTTAAGGAAATTGCAACAAACTAGTTAAACATGCCTTCCTCAAGATGAAATTTCTCCACAATTTCCATTATCATAACCTTGTTCTCATTATCCTTTGTTAATATGTTCACACATTCATAATTTCAAACAATCATGATTTCATTTTCTATCATTATGATCAGGGGCGGACTCACTTTTTTGCAAGGTGTGTCACCCAACACACCTTCGGCCGAAATTTTTGTGAGAGACTCACGTATTTTCGGTGTAAAAATTTTGAACACGAAAACTCTGACACACCTTATTACATTACAAAAATCTATTATGATAAAGTTATTAAAATATGTAAATATTGGAGTTATCCAACTGCAGATTGGATAGTTAATTAGTTCATTGTACACGAGTAAACAATTAATTGACTACTTAGTACGTAGTGAGTATTCAGAGAGATAACTACCATCTTAAAGATAATCTCGATCATTTGAATGAGAATTAAATTGATTAATAAGAGGGTTGAGTCAAGTAATTAGATAGTGAATTTCAACCCGTCTTTTCTCATAGTTTCTTCCATAGGATTTTCTTGAAATTAATTTTCAACTTGGTTTCTAGTTTAGTTACTGTCATTCAACATTCCAACTTCCACGTTGACATCCTCATTCCCATTCCATCTTCTATGTTGACGCCTGCTCCACCCTTCTAGCTTCCCATTCCAGCTTTCCCATCTTAAGTTAATTACTGTTGTGTTTACGTCTGGTAACTATAAGCAGCAAAGTGACCTTTTTCATATATGAATTTAATCAAGAACGATTAGAATAGGTCGACAAATGTAATTAAGAAATCGTTCAGAATAAGAAAATTTTTGTGGTTCACTGAGAAAGACAATAAAATTGTGAACTTTATGAATAATATTTTATGTTTATGTTTAATTAATTATTGTATGTTTCATTAATTATTTTTTTAACTTATTTTTATCAACATCACATCTATCCAAAAATCCTGGGTCTGCCACTGATTATGATCAAACCTTTTAACATATTGTACATTAGATTATAACTAACATGCAGCAAAGTGCAATAATCTGCTCATTTGATCATCTCATGTCTTGTCAATGATCTTCAACACAGGCTTGTATCTGTAAAACAAAAGTCAAAAGTTATAATAAAATACAATATCATCTTGTTACCCTTGAAAATTGTAGTCATGTGAACTTTTCATCATGGGTTGCACATGGAGTCCAAAATAGATATTTCATCTTTTCCATCAACAAATTTGCATATGCTTTGATAGTTGAAGCATTATCTGTCACAATTTAGAAAACATTTTCTTCCCAAATCTTGTCAACAATAACATCTAGTATTTCAAACAATGAAAACTTTGAAGCTTCTTTAGACTCAAGGAATACCGTACATCGAGGACTATTAACCACTATGTTACATAGCGACCTTCTTTACCTATAAGTCCATCCAACATGCTTAATAGTGTAACACACAGTCTTCCATTCATCTTTGAATAACTCTAATTTATTCTCCACACACTTAAAAAGAGGGTCATTAGTGACCCGAGGATTCTGTTAGAAACATCAATTTCATCACAAATATGCTTTTGTAATTCCATGTCACCGCCGCGCTCTGTTCCATATACAAGTGTCACAAATAGTTTTGGCATGACAAGGCATCCCAAAGGCTATTTGTGACGGCTCACAATCATCTCTGCAATTTATATGGTTGTCACTAATACATTTTAAAATTGACGAACTTGACATCGCTATAATCAATAACCTCATATGTAATACATTTTTGTATTGATGAATGTGATGATATAATCGTTATTTTTATTACTGTTGATTTTCTCAATTCATGAGGTGGTCATTTTGGATCCATAACTGAAAATTGAAGGCGGATAATTACGGTTTCACTTCTCATTTTTCACCAACAAAGATAACCCATAATCAATCTTTCACAAAAATAATGGAAGCAAATCAACACATACAAAAATAATAATATCACGTTGTATAAATACATCTAAAAATTATCATTCTCTTGGATAGTATACATAGGGATGGCAATGGGTCGGGTTGGGGCGGGTTTTGTCAAACCCAAACCCATGGGTTTATCCGCCAAAAAAACCCAGGGTAAAACCCATTGGGTTTGAAAAACTCAAACCCAACCCAACCCGCTGGGTATCTGCGGGTTCATGGGTACCCGTGGGTTTTTGTGGTAAAAAATTTACAATAACAAGTTTCTTTCAAAATAAAAGTTTAACATCAATTTTCTCATACAAATTAATCATACAAAAAACAACAATCTAGAGCATACAAGCAAACCGCAAATGATCAATATAAATTGTTCAAAATTAAAGATAAACATCTATAAACAATAAGATTAATTGAAAGCTTCTTCCTCGTCAACTAAGTTTCTTCACTCTCCACTTCAGCATATCAACTTCATTCTAAACAATTAGAAAGAATAAATTATACATGTCTCCACAAACATAAAAAATATTAGTTGTTTAAGGAAGATATATTATTTAGAATATTAAATATATCGGGAAAGTAATTATATGTGTGTGGGCGGGTACCCATGGGGCGGGTTTACCTAAACCCAAACCCAACCCGACCCGGTGAATAGTGTAGCAGGTTTAAACCCAAAACCCGTCAACATGTGTTTTACCCGCGTTGACCGGGTTGGGTCGGGTGGGTACCGTGGGTTCGGGTTTTGTTGCCATCCCTAAGTATACATAATACAATAGACATTTTCATGGTTATAAGAACCAAACCGGATCAACGGATGGGCTAGTAGAACCACTAAATCAGTTACAATAGCGGTTCGGACCATTTGATTGGACTGTTAGACATGGACCCAACATTTTTTACAGTTTGACATGAAACAAGATGAACCACCTCAGTTTGACTGGTCCACTAATTCACAATTTTAACCACAAAAATTAAGAAAACAATAAATTAACATAAAGCTAAGATCATCCAACCTTAATAAATTTCATATACGAGCTTCCTGCAGCGAGGTAATCAATCCTCTAGTTTTAATCCATGAATTTTGGCTATTATTTAGGTCGGGGTCCAAATCGCTGAATTTAGGGTTTGATGTGTTTTTATCAAGAATTTGACCCGAAGCCTAGAACTAATATTGACGGGGATACTGCAGGGGATATTAGGACGGCCTCGGATTTTAATTCGGGGTTCATTCGTGAAATTGACGTTTTAGTACGGGAGGCTAAAACCGGTGTTTGAACGACCATAACTAGTGAGGGATTAGCACGGCATACTGGGTTTGTCGTATCACGATAATTATATTGATGCTTAGAATTGACCTAGGTGAACTAGAATGGCATGATTAGGGGTGTATGAACTTTTGTGCTATATGTTGAGCCCTGAACTGCTGTATGATATTATTGACTTGCCCTAATCGAGATGGACCTTGTTTATGTTGATGATTGCATACATGTTGCCATTTGTGGCTTAACTGTTAATATGACTTCATGGTTGTTCGATCAGGTGTTTCGACATGATGTGATATTGTGGTTGTATTTGGATTCACAAGTGGAGGAAATAAACTTCCCGGGGTGATATTTTGATGTTTAAGGAGGATGACTTGCACGAGGGTTTATCCCGAGGAAGTGCAGTTATACGACTCATGGTTATGTTGAGCCAATTGTGGCCAGGCCAAGAACATGTCTAAGTAATGAATTATGATTAAGCAAGATGAGATATAGATCATGTATAAGGATACCAAGTAAGAATACTTTGGTCTCATAGTTAATTACATAGTGATTAGGGCTCCCCATGCTATTACTCTGTTATGATATGTTATGTCACACCCCTGAGGTGGTGTTGACCGTTGATTCATCATGAGATATGACCACACCCAGAGTGCTGTCAGGTCCGATATGACTACACCGGCAGTAGTGGGTCCGATATGACCACATCCACGAGATGTTTGGTCTGTATTCTCGGGAGAGTAATTAGCATGGGAGTAGCCAGGCGCCTATAAGTAAAACATGATAAGATGCATATGAATAAGTCAAGGTGGTTGAGTCTTTTGCCTATTGGGATGTCAGATGGCTGAGGTCTGATCCTAGTGCTTTGGCTTGTTTGCTAGATGTATGGTAGGGGTATGCTATGTTATGAACTCACGATGCAATGATTGTCTCACTCAGCCATGAGCTGACCCCCTTTTATTCTTCTTCTCTACTTATGCTATGTGAAAGCAGATCATCAGCAGCAGCAATAGATAAGTGTTAGGTGGGAGAGGAGCTAGAGTTGAAGCCAGGATGAGGTATGGTCTTCAACTATTCTGTGCTTGGACGACTACTCAGGATTTTGGCCAGTGATCCACACCTTTTTGTAAAAATGTTTTGAGAACGTTTTTCATGTGCATACTAGCTTCTGAGGTAGTGTGAGATATCCACAGGTGTGGAAAGTTGATGATATGTGTATATGTTGTGTAACTGTGTAAGTTGTGACGATTATGGTATGTATAAGTATGGTATGCAGTTGTGGAGTATGAAAAGTGTGACTATGGCTAAGAAAAGCCAATGCATATGGTTGTGAGTATATATGTTTGTGATGAATTATTTTGCAGGATAAGTTGCAAGAACTGTTAGCCCATTACGCGAGTAATTCATGTCGAAATTTTATTTGGGTAAATTTTGATAATTAATGTAACACCCGAGATTAATTCCGCTGCAATTTTATGAACAATATGATTAGGCAAAACGTATAGGGTAGGGTGTTACATTGCTGCCTGCCGCCCACCGCAATCCTTCTCAATAGACGAAGAAGCATCCGCCACCGCTGCCACCAAACCCATACCCGCCTCTATATTCTCCTCCGCATCGTTCGATTCCTCACCGTAATCCTCAATTCGAAGCTCTTCTTTTCACCCACCCGACTAAAGTACAAAACGTTATTGCCTCTTCCTCTTTGTTCTTTACCGACTCTGCACATAGCCAAAACAGAAGAACACAATAAAAAAAAACTTTCAGTAATCATCAAATAAATGACATTGCCAAGAAAACTTGCTTGAGTGATTAATGGGATTGGGTAAAATAAAATAAAATCAAACATGATGTAAAGCCAATTGATTAATTTATCAATAACATTTGCTAAACATAAATAATATATGTGAATTATAGTATAAGTTACGACTTTTTTTGTTTGACATATCTATGATAACTAACAATCGGACAAGCGAAATGATAAATTGTAGTATAGCATAAATTCCTTCTATCATTTATAACTATTTGTGTGATATTTTTATTTCGGTAACTTGGATTATTAAACTCGCATGTAATCGTGTAAACTTAAAATAGTTTGTGAAAATTTGGATTCTTAACTTGTTTGTGAACTTATTGTTAAGATGTTATGAGTTTGCTTTACTTTAGAAAGGAACTACATGTATATATTCACTTATCTAAGCTCTATACACTCATATTTTATATAGTACACGCCTTGCTTAACAGATTTTTAGCTATTATACAGGATGCGTAAAAAAACTTACGCTTTTATGCTTTAATTCAATGCTTTACAATTTTACCCAAAATAGTTTGTGAAAATTTGGATTCTTAACTTGTTTGTGAACTTATTGTTAAGATGTTATGAGTTTGCTTTACTTTAGAAAGGAACTACATGTATATATTCACTTATCTAAGCTCTATACACTCATATTTTATATAGTACACGCCTTACTTAACAGATTTTTAGCTATTATACAGGATGCTTAAAAAAACTTACGCATTTATGCTTTAATTCAATGCTTTACGATTTTACCCAATTTTCGCTTTTAGGTAGAATCGCGCTTTTGACTGCATTGATCCCAATGAGCCACTCCAGTTTGACTGGTCCACTAGTTCACCTTCTTAACCACAAAAAAATAAGAAACAAAATAATTAACGTAAACCATAACCATCCAAACTCAATTACTACTTTAATCTACTACTTTTGGTGGTGGATGATATGCATTTGAAATTGATTATGGTAAGTAATGAATTCCTCCTAAATTAGAATATGTCTTTATGTTATAGCTCATGAACAATTCTATCAATAGTTAACCAACGATTCTATAGAGGTTAACAGTTGAACCATAAACCATGCTAAATCGTCCAGCTCAGCTACCGATCCGATTTTGAAAACAATGTGTAAAAGGTGTTAAAACCATTATAACAAAGTCTTAAAACTATGCTAAAATTGGTAGTTGTAATTCTAATTTAATGTTGGACTCAAATGCAAGATGGAGTTGTTTTTGGGTTGAGCCAAGCATATTCAAACCCCTCCCCAGAATAGTAGATGGTATTTAGGTTTATATATAATAATTTAGGTTTATATATATTAATATGCACATTACAACGAATTAATCCTTATTCCGCTTACTTGATCAGGTCAACGTGCATAATCAGCTTGACAACCTTAAAGTTTAATCAAACCTTGACTTACTCAAGAAAACAGAACAAGGACACCTAGGTCATGTCCGGTGACCAGTAGTTAGGATCTCTAAATTGATGCATTTAATCAACTTATATAATTCTAATTATATGTATTGTTTCAATACGAATTAGACAAATACATTGTTTTTTATCCCTAAAGAAATAGGAAAAAAAATATGAGATTGACAATCATTCATAATGAATGATTTTTATGGTCTAATCTTCTACTCAAATATAAGTATTGTGTTTCGTTTTAAGATAAAAACGACAAATTCTCCGAATTACATATATTGGCCAAATGCACCATTTGAAATCCATTTGAAATCTAACTTCCAAACGATGCCTAGTAAATAGACGTTGCACGACATTCAAGAGAGAAGTGGGGAAGACACGAAGAACCCATAACAAAAACAATCCACTAAGAGAAAATTAGTGGATTCATCAACAATTAAGTTCGACTGCCAATAATACAAGGATTCATCAACAATTGACTGCCAATCTCCAACCTTTGCCGCACGACTCAAAAGACAAGTCGACAAACAAAAACACTCAAATCCCCTAACGTAACAACTTCATCCAGTATATGGCCAATCCATTCAAAGTACGTAAGCTCAAAACTACACCCCTTAACATGTCTATCGACCATAAACTTCAGACACCAGACTGAACTTCACCGGGACGCACCTACTCTCCAAACGCATCAAACTTCATCGCTCCAGCACTTGATGGTTACTATTGGCGAGTCTGTAAAATAAAATGGTAAGAGTATAAAACCACATGCCAGCCCAGAGTAACATGCAAGGAAAATGTCAGTTATATTAAAAGGTTGTTCACTTACGAGCTCAGAGAATCCAAACTAGTTTGATAATAAAAAATTCCGGTTTAACATACTTCAAAAGTTCAGACGAACAAAAAGGAAAATAAAGCAATGAACTGCAAAGGAAACAGGCAAACGATAACACTCGACAGAGGTAGCTTCTTACTCAAACAACTGGACAGTTATAGGTGCTGCAGAGCTGCATCAGTGCAGTCTGATTTGCTAAATCTAGGTTCTCGTTGATTAACTGTGGAAACCTTCCAGGAGAAGTGACAGAAAGACTCGACAATGAAGCCACTAAGAATTGTTTCGGATCCTTTATGTCCTTGAGAGGATCGTCCTCCTTCTTTCCAGCATTGTAAAGATTGACAAAAGTTGCAGTATAGCCAACATTTTCAGCAACATCTGGCATTTCAGGTTCCTCTTCAACTCTATGTTCTTCTGGTTTTGAGAGAAGAGTAACAATGCTGTCCAGCATTTTACCCCATTTACTAGCAGCTGCAGGCTCCGCAAGAACAGGAGATTCACAGATAAGTTTGCAAGATGCAACTGCAACCAACTTAACTTCAATATGTCCAGTAATCAACTTGAGTTTTGGTATCCAGAACTTGTCCAAGATAGCAGTAAATATATTTGCTTGAACCGAATTCATTGTGTCAATAAGGTTTCCAGGACCATGCTTGATCAAAAACAAGGACATGAATATCAGAAGAGACTTGATAAACTTTGTTGTCTCCTTCTTCTTCAGGCGGGTGAATAGAGCAGCCCAGATGTGACCCATGTACGGAGCAATGACAGGAAACTCAAGATTCTCAATAACGGTGTTCAGAAGATGGAAACCTTGTTCCTCTGTGCTTGGAGATGATACAAGCCGCTCAAATATTCCAAGCACCTGGCTCAGCCTTCCCTCTTGGTGAAGCTCATGTGGTGCTTTCTGAAGGAAGGCCTGAAGTAGACGAACAAGGGCCGGAACATTCGAATTTCTATTCCATGATTCAGGAGAGAGGAGGAGCATGAAAATTTGCATGTAACTAGGAGAAATAGGCGGCCGATTCAACTCCACTAGTTGAGCCAAGAGTTGAAAGGCATAAGGCAAGAACTCAGTGACATCATTGGCCAAGATCATTTGAAGGCTGGGGAATAATCTTGCCTCAAATGCTGGTATAAGAGAGATGTCCCGTTCACATGCTCTCCTGACAAGAATGGCTACTGACTCAAAGAGATAGTGGTTGAAGATAGGATTTTTGGGGTTTTTGCATACTTGGTTGAGGATTGTGGTCAACCCAATACAACAGGGATCAGCAATGGCTGCATTTATTTCTGCCACTCCTATAACTCGCATGATACACTTCATGATATACTGATTCTCCTCAGACTCTGGAAGCTTCAGTGCATTAAAAAGGTTATTCATCAGCACAAGAATGAATGGACCCAAATCTGCTGCATTATACCTTGCCCGTGCTCTGTCATCCTTGACAAGCAGCAGTTTCTCTATACAACTGGCTGCATAAGAATGAACTACATTTGACTCTGCCTCAAGGAACCGAGCCAAATCTGGAAGCAAGTGAATCGCAAGATGCTTAGGTATCTGATTCCTGAAGACAGTGAAGAATTTAAGGGCCCCAGCTTTGAGCATTGAATAAGCATTAACATCTTGGCTTTGTAACTCTGGCACTATAACTGAAGTAAAGAAACTTTGAACATCAACTATGTCGGTTGAAACATCTACACCCCCTGATTTCTTGCTCGCAAGAGACACTACTAAATATATCGCACAGTCCTTGTCCTTCCAGTTCACTGCCAGATTATTAACATTGGAACTCAACAAGTTTTGTATCTGAGCTGAGGCTATAGCTGTTACCTGCTTCTTATAGTTCGTTGCAATCCCCTTCAGCAATTCACATGCAATCCTCCTCCTTGTGTCAAGATCACTACCTTCCATATCTCTCCTGATATACTCTATATAATTCATCACAAACAGCTCTTCATCATCGTCCCTCAAGCGAACATTGGGAACCACAATATTCTGACAAATCTGTAGTATCACGCTATCCTCTCCGAACAAACCGTGGTGCACACTGGTACTTACTGTAGTTAAGAATTTGATGGCAGTAATAGCCAACTTATCACGAGCAGGATTCTGAGACACATTAACCAACAGAGTCCAAACAGCAAGGGCAAAATCATTCAAGTAGGGCTGGAACTCTTCTTCATTCTTCTCCATATAAAGACTAATATTCTCGCATACAGCAGATCTAAGGTCATCTGCCACAGCAAGTCCAGGGCCACTATTGTCCAGGGCAGGATAAGAAGAGGTCAAGTACTTTTTAAACTCTGTCATCCATTCATTCATATGATCCTCAAAGAACTCGGGCAATTCCTGGAAATTTAAAGAGTAAAAGATCCTACAACAGAGCCTCTGTGACTCGAACAAGGGTTTTAAAGCCTCAAATGAAACAGCCCCAGAGCGAACTGCTGAGTCAATTAAAGCGGCAGTTATACGGAAAATTTCAAGTAATGGAGCAGCAAACTGATCGAGACAGTACTTCAAATCAATGAAAAGGTCATTACTCTTATACTGATAGCGGAACTTTTTGAAGATAGAGTTGGCCGTTCCAAGAATACCATTGATGGTGGCATAGTTGTTGGACTGTGAAGCAGCCTGGAGACTTTGGATGAGCTCAGGGAGCAAGGAGGGCCACGTTTTGGGGAAGTCGTGTTTCCCGATGAGGGAAAGAGCTTCACTGAGCTGCGACTGGATGCGGGGAGAAGACGAGAGCATGAGAGAAACGATTAGGGTTTTGATCTGGTTCTTCTCATCATCTGGGATCGGATTGAATTCGGAATCCTGAGCCGGCGCCCAGCGCTGCCGAAGGTAGTTTTTGAAATTGACCGCCGCTGCGTGACGGATCTGCTCGTCGAAAGTCGGAGTGCCGACCAAGTTGAGTACAGCGAGGGCGAAGTTCGGAGCGTCGGCGGCTGCTGCCAACCGGTCCTCGGCTGCCTTGCGGGGCTCGCGCACTGCGGAGAAAGTGTTGACGAAGCATTGGGCGAGGAAATCTGGGCTCAAATCCATGATCGGAAAAGTGTGGCTATGGAATAGAGGTTGGGAGGTTTTGCGCTCTCTTACTAGGGTTTTGCTGGAGAAGCAGAGTGGAGCGAGGATGAGAATTGGGATTTGGGAGGAACTTTAGAAAGGGTTTAATAGAGTAAAGACGGTGACTGAGTACTGACTGGGACGGGAGGGGAGTAACGCATTCACCCCTATTTTATTTTGATTAATACTTTTTTTTAGCGAAAATATTACTTGTAAGTTTGCATCACATTTTTTAAGAGTTAATAGCATTGCAACGGGTCGGGTTTGGCAATGGGTCGGGTCGGATCGGGTTTATCCGTGAAAAAATTTGGGATAAAATCTATTGGGTTTGGAAAACTCAAACTCAATCCAACTCACTGGGTATCCGCGGATTTATGGGTACCCATGGATTTTTGTCGTAAAAAATTTAGAATAACAAGTTTCTATCAAAATAAAAGTAAAATAGTAATCTCTCAACACAAATTATCCATATATAAAACACCATTTTAGAAAATTCAAGCAAATCACAAATTAACCATACAAATTGTTCAACACCAATCTAGAAAACTGAAGAAAATTGAAGCAAATCACAAAATTTTCAGTCTATTAAATGGTTATTTAACAGAAAATTGGATAGAAGAGTAAAATCATTACGTTTTAATATTAGAAGGGTATGTTTGTTCAAAAAAATAATAAAGGAGTACGTTTGTTAATCGACAATAATAGAGGGGTACAAAATGTTATTAACCCTTTTTTTAATTATCAAATCATTGGATTTGGAATTTTCAAACTTCTTTATTGCTATCCTTGCAAAGGTGGGGCAGGACAAGTCGGAAGTAGATACACATGTCCCGCTCCACGCTACTCCAGGTAGGGCTGCAAATGAGCCAACCTGAGCCGAGTTTTACCCTAGCTTGAGCTTGACTTGTTAACAAATGAGTTGAACTCGAGCCCGAGCCATTTATTAACGAGCCGAGTCGAGTCAAGTTCGAGCTAGGCTTGTTTACTAAATTCTTAAATCGTATTTGATACATTCATTTTGTATGTCGTGTATGGTACATGTGATTGATGTAACGATAAAAAAATAATCAAATGTTCAACATTAATTAATCTTATATTATAATTTGTAGGTGTCATATTGTTTAGTTAATAAATTTTAACTAGTTCAAATCATGTTATTTCATATTATCGAAACAATTTTGTATATAATTTCTTTATAGAATTAAAAATAAGGCATATTTTCTTACATGTTCAACATGTTAAACTTCACATGATGTGAGATATATAACTTAACAATCCTATGAATTATGAAAGTCCAAATTAGATCGATTAGTCCATAAGTCGGTGATCAAGTTGGCCCTCAAACAACAATATCGAGACATCTCATGAGCTCTAAATGAGCCAACTCACGAGTTGAGCTCAACAATCCACCGAGACGAGCTAGCTCGTGAGCTGAACAAAGCTAAGCTCAAGTTTGGGTCATCAGTAAACGAATCGAGTTTCGAACGAGTTTTTCCCGATTCGAGCCTCTAGTTGCTCGCGAGTAGCTTGGCTCATTTGCAGTCCTAACTGCAGGTCGGTAATACCCACCCCATCGCGGGTCAGATCGGGTAATAGCCACGCGGTCGCTTCAAATTGCCATCCGTAGATGAAACTCCTCGATCTACTGTTATTTTTGGACTAGCACAGGGAAGCACAAGTGGTTCCAATTGGAGGAATTAGGATTCTATTAGCAGGAGTGGGCATCGGTTCAGTTTGATCGAAACCAAATCGAAATTAACAATACTGGGTCCACTAATTCCTCAAAGTCTTAAACCAAACTCGAACCGAAATATATATCGGATCGAATCAAAATATATATCGGTTCGGTCCGATTTTCTCGAACAAATTGAGGGATTCACATTCCTTCTTATGCCTTCCTACAAAACCCAACCCCCAGTTCACACCTTCCTCTCTCCGACTCCCCCAGTATACACCTCCCTCTCCCCCGACTCCCTCTCCTTGACTCCCCAACCCAAACCCAACTGCTACCTACGCTGACCACCGGCGGCGGCCTCCTCTCCGCACTCCCATAACCGCATGCAAAGTCCAGAGTCCTTGATTTCTCTTTCTCCAACACCGATCTTCCCCTGCCTTCATCATTGGTTTATTCCAGCAGGTGGCGCCGCTTGCATGTGGTTGTCGGCGCCCGACGAAGATTAGAGTTGAGGATGATATGATCTCAAATGGCCAAATCTACATGTTTTTATTATTTGGCGAAGAAACTATTGAAGTTGAGAAAAAGAAAGACAGAATTTGGCCAAGTCATTTTTCGAATTCATGGTACCTAGCTAATTTGGAGGCCTGGTTCTCTCAATTGGCTGGTGAAAATTCAAGGGTAGATGTTTGTTTTGAAGATAAAGTTACCCTCTACACATTGGCATGGTTTTTGGATCCAGAAGAATCCATTAAGGGGTCGTTTGGAGAATGGGATTTAGGGCGTGGATTTATTGAATCCGTAGATTTTGTAGAAAGTTATGTTTTTTTGTTGTTTTTTGTATTGTGGATTTTAGCTTTAGAGATTTTAAATCTCTAAAATCTATGGATATCAAATCTCTTATAATCAGAGAATTCTATATCTTGATTCGTGAGATTTTTTTCTCTCCTACCTTTTCACTTTCTTTTATTTATTTATCGCATTAAATATATTTACTAACAAAGTTTTTAATATTTCTCAAACTACTCTAATTTTTATTAAGGATAAACATGTTATTTAATATAAAAATTTTATTTTTATTTTCATTAAATGTTAACAATCACAGTTACCAAACAATAAACATTTTAAAATCTATTTTCAACAATCCGAAGAATTAGAATCTTTAGATTGTTGACAATCTATAGATTTAAACTCATATTCTCCAAACGACCCCTAAGATCATTTTCTTGGCATCCAAATTTGCTATCTGGAAAGCTGAAAACTGCATGACAATTACTAAGTCAGAAAACTGGTTTGTGAAGCCTACTTTGGAGCTCAATTCGAGGAGCATGGATCTGATTCGAGTTCAAAGGCTTCCACAACTAGAAAATAGGTATGTTTGTCTACCAATAGAAGGAATTAGATGAAAAATTGGAGATCTTGATGGCCTCGAACGAAAGACGCGAAGTTAGTACGAAAGCTATGTAACATCCCGAACCTTTTCCCGACGAAGATATTGTCCGCTTTGGGCCTATTCAAGGTGAATTCCCATAAGGTCACCCATCCTTGTTGTACTCCACACTGAGCACGTTTAACTTCGCAGTTCTCACAAGAACTCCTCCATTACACCCCAAAACGCGTCTTGTCAGTTAAGACCAGTTTCTTACTTATGAACCATGGATCTCTCCCATGCTTTGTCAATGTGGGATTCGCCTAAGGTGTTATATACGCCTCCCCCTGGGACTCAACGCCCTCGTTGAGGTTTGCCCCACCATCATTCAAGAGGGATGCAGAGAAGCTCTGATACCACTTGTAACATCCCGAACCTTTTCCCGACTGAGATATTGTCCGCTTTGGGCCTCAACCCTCACGGTTTTTGACTTGGGGTTTCAATTCAAGGTGACTTCCCATAAGGTCAACCATCCTTGTTGTACTCCACACTAAGCACTTTTAACTTCGTAGTTCTCACAAGAACTTCTCCATTACACCCCAAAACGCGTCTTGCCAGTTAAGGCCGGTTTCTTACTTATGAACCATGGATCTCTCCCGTGCTTTGTCGATGTGGGATTCGCCTAAGGTGTTACAAGCTATTTTTGGACTGTTTGCTGGCAGCTTACTTGTGATTGAAGAAAGAGAGTTTGAGCTCAAATTTTGTAACCTTTTTAGGGTAGACTTTTAATTAAATTGTTCCTTGTTCATCTAGGTTTGTATTAGGTTTTCTTAGCTATAAATATGTTTTAAAAAAAGAAGACTTTTGATTAATCGAAAAGAAACCATTTGGTTTGTTCAAGTTTGCAAACTTGTTTTGGGTTTGGTGGATTCCAAACTTGCTGAGCTTGTGTATCGATTGAATAGTCCCTTCAATCATGGTCGAGCAACTACTCTTTTATACCATACGAGCTTTCCCCAGGTGTGGAATTGTTCGGTGGTTCCATTTTATCCCAATTTCGTATTAAGAACGCGTTGTTCTTGATTCGAGTTCAATCAATCTTTGGATTGATTGTTTGCTGCGTTACTTTGATAACATACATCCCCCCAAGGTCGTATTAGAGGATGCTTGCTAGCGGTGGCGACGACGACGCGATTGATGAGGACAGTAGGGTTGGGCTAGCGGCGGTGGCGGCGACCACTCGATTGATGAGGAGATTAGGGTTGGGCTAGCAGCGGCGGCGGTAGGGATGCCATCTTGATGAAGTAGATTAGGGTTGGGGATCGGGATTGTGGGTTGTGTTGTAAGTGTTTTAATTGTGGGCTTGTATGTTAGTGTGTAAGAATGGGTCGTGGTCTTGGCTTGGGATTGTGGGTTGCTAGTGTGAGAGGGTGAGGAAGTTCGAATGGTAGGTTCGAAACTCGGTTTGGTCGACAAAACCCTGGTTTTCGAATTAGGCAAATTTGCCTTCCAATTTCCGAACCGAAATAGATTAGTTTGGGTTTGATTGGTTTTGGTCCAGTTTGGTTCGGGTTTACCAAACTGGATGCTCACCCCTATCTGTTTGTGGGTCGAAGGGGTCAAGTGGATGAAGGCTGAAAAGGAGGGAAACAAGCTAGCTCCAATGAGTGGGTTGTAGTAATTGGTTGATAGTCGTTTGCTAGTTCAGCCTGCTGCATTCTCAGTGGCCCTAAAGTGAAGGGAGTTGGGGGTAGCTGCCAAGGCATGACTTTCCAAGCTAAATCCACCGGCAGCGCAGAAATAAAGCAAAGCCAAGTGGTTGTTTTTGTAGGTGTTGGAAAAGTGAAAGAAGCTGGGACTTCGGAGGTCGCGACCAAGTATCAACGACCTTCTTTTGTTTTGCAAGATTTGGATACCACAATGGAGGTTGTCAAGGTGGCGACATGTTAGTTGCAAACAAATGAATATTGATTTTACACATAGTTTTAGGGAACCACGGACCTATCGTCTACTGTCACACTCAACTTAGTGGTCTTTAGTTCCCCTAGGTTTAAATTTTGATAAAACTTAAAAGGCATAACATTAATGCTCAGTCCTAGATCCGCCAAGGATTTACCACATGAAATACACCAATGCACAAGGTAATAGTGAAACTCCTTGGATCCTATTGCTTCTGAGGAAGCTTGTTCTGAAAGATTATGGAGCACTCCTCGGTCAAGGTGACTAAGGTGAGGTCTTCAAACTTTCGCTTCTTGGCGAGAAGCTCCCTGAGGAACTTGACTTACTTTGGCATATGAGCTAAAGCCTCCAAGAATGGGACGGAGACGTGGAGCTTCTTGAGAATCCCCATAAAATTAACCAAATTCCGCCTCCAAATGGTCCTTGTCAACTCTTGAAGGGAAAGGAAGTGGAGGCTTGTAGTCAACCACCAGATGTGCCATCGGCGGTGTCTTCCTAGCCTCGTCTGCTTTTGCCTCCTTAGATTGTTGCTCGATTATCGTTGGAGGGACTTCTTCTTGTTCTGCCTTCCTCAGTTCAGCCTCTTGAGCCACCTTACCACTTCTAAGAAAAAGGTCGGTATGTGAGGACTTCGGCGAGATTACTGATTTGGATCTCCAAGTTTTGGAGAATTGTTTGATGGCTTCTTAGCCTCGCCTCAACCGAGGAAAATTTGCTTGTAACTACTTCCATATACTTCTCAATCTTGTCAAACTTCCGAGAACTCAAACTCACAAAGGTGGTCACAAAATCTTCAAGCTTGGAGATATTGTCATTTTGTTGTTGGTGTTGTTGATACCCTTGCACTTCTTGCGGTTGATATTGTTGTGATTGAAATTTTGTGGTTTGGAATAACGGCATTGGATGAGAAAATGGGGGTCTTGGTTGATACCAATCGGTAGGGCCTTGAAAACCTAGTGGCCTCGAAATTGTAGGTGATGCCCAAGAAAAGTTTGGATGGTTGCACCACCCTGGGTTGTATATGTTGCTATAGGGTTTGTTGTTTTTCACCCTAGCATTTGAGATAAATTGACTTGCTTTTCCCGGGTTAGTGGCTTCCATCATAATTTGGCACTCATCCAACACGTGGTTGGGGCTTGAACACCATTCCCAGGCCATCACTTGGCTCTTCCCTTGACTTCTATACTTCAATAACACCTTAACCAACCCATCAATCTTTGCTTTAAGTGAAGGGCTTGCCTCGGTTGCGTGCATTCATTTCTCTCGAGTTTGTCTTCCTCTCTTTGTCATGCCCAATTGTACCCCTATGTTGCCATCTCTTTGAATAACTTTGTCCTTTGTGGGGGGTGTCTTGTTGAGCATTTTCCCTTGACACAAGGAATCAATGAGCATACGATCCTCTTGAAAGATACCATTATCAAATTATCCTATTTTGAAATCTTCATCGAAACCATGGTGAACGCATTGAAGGAAGAGCTCGATGTAGCGCTCCCAAGCATCCCTTAAGGTTTCATCCCCCTCTTGAGTAACTAGTAAAGTGGATGATCTTTCTTAAAAAATCCATTATCTTGGAAGGCTAGAAGTATCTTGCCATAAACTTTGTCACCAAGTCGTCCCAAGAAACAATTGAGAGAGGAGGTCGGTTGGTGAGCCAACTTCGTGTCTTGTCACTTAGGGAGTAGGGGGGAGTCTCAACCTAAGTGCTTCTTGAGGCACACCGTTCATCTTGAGGACGTCTTTCAACTCGTAGCACCGATTGATGTGCCCTCTTGACGACTCTTTATCAAGACCATAGAATTGTATGTTGGTTTGGATCATGGTGATGAGACTGATCTTAATCTCAAAATTGTTGGCAGCCACGGTCGGATGCTAAGTTGGATGTCTTGATCTCACCTGCTAGAGACTGAAACATACTAAACCATTACAAAACCTAGTGTAAAATGACTCCAAGGACGATGCTATATAAGTCAAACGACAATGACAAAAGGGTAAAATTGAGTATAAAATGGCTTGAATCATACTTCATCATGGAACTTGAGTTATATTAGCGCTTTCTTACTCTCAGGTTCGTCCCACGTGTTATGCTTCACGTGAACCCTAAGGAGATGGAGATAAAGGTGATGGTATGATGTTTACCATTGTGTGGGAACTTCACTATCAAGACAACACATGACCTTACTTCTGAAGAAGAAGAAGAAGAAGAAGAAGAAGAGAATAGAGTTATTTTACACCCAATGTGGCGTGCTATTTGGAGAGCTTCATCCCCTCGATGGACTCAAGCATTCTTATAGTTGGCTACACAACACCAACTACTTACCAAATCCGAGAAGCTACTACCACATCTAATAACCATGGTGACCTGTCCAATTTGCATAGGAGAACCAGAGGCTGTTGTACACATACTTCATGATGTTGCATACACTCGGCAACACGAGTAGCTTTCCTATACGAGAAACTTGACCTGACTTTCTTCCACGAGGTCTTTGTTTTATGGATCTTACACTACATCACAAGTGCAATACTATAATTGATATCCAAGTTTTGTAGGCACTTGGTGGTT